CATGCTAAAAGTTCAATAAAGTACAAATTATAATATGAAGTGGTAAAAAATACATATGTTATATAATTGTTTTTAAAAAGTTAAGAACTTTATAATTGATCCCCACACAGAGACAAATGCAATGCACCATCAAAGACTGTTTCCTGTGTGATTCTGTTAACACTTGCAGAAAGAGTTTTGTGTTCAATCAGATCCTTCATATATCAGACACATTAGGGAAAAGGTTCCCTTATAAATACACATATGCATATATATAATACTGTTTCTGTAATGAAATCAAACATTGTAAGAGAAAATGCTTTCTTCATTCAGAAATGCAAGTCATTCACTTCCTTCATTATGTACGTAGGTACTGACCTCTTCTAGCTTAGAATAATTGCTATCACTGGCTGTCCACTTTCAAGCAGGAGGTTTGAATACACAAAAAGGTTAGTGAGTTTGCCTCTGGAAAACCGAAGCTGTATAGCCAGCATCGCAGCTGAAGCCTCGCTCTATCCTCACCTGCAGGTTGAACATTCCATTTACCAAATCAAATATTAGGACTAAATGGAACATTTAGTCATACAGGTTCTAGGGAGACAGCACTATGGTTGTTGGAGAAGGTACTTTTTTTACTGTAACTCCCTATCTGTGTATATTTCTTCAGTCTAGCTCTCTGTAGTCTTATCATCCTAGAACATGGTAAACTTCAGACTTCAGCTGAGATCATAGTTTTGTTCTGAGACATAGGGATGGATGTTCTTGGGTATCGTATCAAAAGCTTAAGATACATAAAATGCAGTTTCAAAAGCAGAAATATCTCATTCAGAAACAAACGGCACAGATTACAAATTTGTTCTGGAATAAAATAATGTATCAGACATTTCCAGAATAAACCTGCCTACTAAGATTACATTTTCACAATCTTAACAGCACTTTGGGAGTATAGTCCACAAAAAGGGAACTTCTATTTCAGGTAAATGGTTCCACCTTTCAGGAAAGGATTAATTGTAAATGATCCCTTCTAAGCTTATGATCTGATGACTGGAACCAATACTGTACTTCAATCCCTCCCTTCTACCACAGGTATATCTGAGTTTCTGGTTATTTGTAAAAAAAAACACTACAAATGGGTGAAGTACAACTCTTCTTATTTGCTGTTAACGCTCTGTTGTGACAAGAACAGCTTGTGTAGAATTTCAGTTCTTAGAAAAATAAATGTTTAAATGAGGAAGTTGTTTAGGCTTTGCGGCTAACAATCATACCAAACCACCAAGAGATGAGATGCGGTGAGGTGACATTATTTTTGTTCTTAACTCTTCTGGGATCGCTGGTAACAAGGCACTTCAGTATTTTCCTAATACTCTCTGTTAATCACTTAATTTGAATTTTGGCACTTGCATTGGGGACCAGCGTCAGTGTAATTTTTAACACTTCAAGGCTTTCTTTCTCCTGTTTACTGTCACTTAGGCAAAATCTCCCACTCCTTCCTCTCACTCATTTCTGGCATCTTGTTTGCTCACTGAAAAGGCCTTTACAGGCCATTTTGATGCAGGGTTTCCTATCATAAAGATGAAGTTCTGTAGGTTCCCTTGAAGTATTTCTGTACTACATTTTAACAGATATGTTCTTGTTTCTCTTAAGCTAATATTAGGAGTAGGGTTCTAAACAACTCTCTTCAGGAATGGAACTTTTCCAAGATGGGCAGAAGGCTCAAAGGTGCAGCAATTCCCATTAGGCTCTAATAATACAGTATAAATGAGAAATGTAGCAGTCCTTTAAGTCCTTTAAGTCCTTTAAGCAGGCCCTAGTACAGAGATATTAAAGGAAAAAGAAGGGCTATTCAGAATATATTGCCATACTACGTAAAATGTCTGCCTCCAAATGAATACTACTGCATAAAATATATATGAAACATAAAGTTCTAAAGTAACAACAAATATTGTGCCCCTCTGGTTCCAGAGATGCAATGACAAGATCATATTTTTGTCAAAAATCAAAAGGTTCCAGAAAATAAGTGTATTCCAGTATAAGATTTTGTGGGCTACAATCTGTTTCATCAGATGCATTAAGTGTTGTCACTGTTCAGACATTTATTTATTTATTTATTAGATTTATATACCATCCATCTAGAACATGTCCACTCTGGGCAGTAGACAGATACACAACACCCATTGCTTGTGAGTTTGGGTGTATATGGGGGAAACAGAATGGTATACAATGAGAGGAAAACTAAAGGCAGAAAAGTACTGACAATAGCAAATATATTATCAGCATTGCCCATTCACCAAAATGTGTTGCCACTAGTTTTATGAACCTACAGTGTGAAAATACATTGTGATAAAGGCTTCATGCATCTGATGAAGTGAGCTGTAGCCCATGAAAGCTTATGCCAGCATGTGTGTTCATTAGAGATGGGGGTACTCATATTCGTACATGACTATATTTCCCCACAGGTGGAAATAACGAGGGTCTGGCCCCATGGAGTCAGAACGTCCACTCACTGTTCAGCCACTGCCGCGGGTGCAGCAGCGTCTTCCTATCACGCTGTGCTCCGCAATGGATTAGCCACTCCTGGCTGGAGGCAGCATGACAAGCCTCTCTGCCAGGTCGCATCATGGCTAATCCACTGCGGAGCATAGGAAGCATTGCAGAGCATAGGAAGCGGCAGTGGCTGAACAAATACAAATACCCCCATCTCTAGTGTTCATCTTCCAGGTGTCATGAGGATTCTTGTTTGCTTTCCCAGCAGCAGACTAACATGGCAACCCCTTCAAACACACAGCATTCTGCATTTTTTATGTTCAATCAGGAATGGTATTACCACTGTTTTGTGCAACTCCAGTTTTTCTCCTCTAAAACAGTTATTCTCAATCTTTTTCTGGTCATGGGCATGAACACAATATGAAAGAAATACAGAAACACAATATGAAAGAAATATAGGCCAAATCAGGACTGTATAAATTACATAACGAACCTTATAAAGTGGTGTGTGAACTATTTCCAGTCTGTGGCCCCCCTACAAATGTGTCTGAGCTCCCACTGAGAATGGCTGCTCTAAAAGATACCTGGCACACATTTCAGAAGAGCAGATGGGTTACAAAAGGGGCAGTCATTGACAGATATAAGCATACTTAAGCCTGCTGAGACTAATAGATTTAAGAACACTTAACTCCAGGTTGCATCATAATTGCAATTACCACTAACATCTAGCTAATGGACTTATTAAGCAAGAAGATCCTTCTTGGCCCTGTGATTGCTTCTGCTGTAGCTGTGTAAACATCTGAGGAGAGGAAAGCAGCCCAAACCATCAGAAATTGCTGGTGATGTACATTTTGATTCTTTTGCAATGTAAATGACATTTTCGCCTATTAAGTACAGAGCTAAGAAAGAGTACTTCTTAAAGTCAATTCTCAGATTCCCTGTGGTCATGGTGGCCCAGGAATTAAAAGATTTGTAGTCCAAAAAAACCCCTAAAGAGAGTAATGTTTATAACTTCTGGTTCATGATGATGACTGTGCTGTGTAACAAAACATGCTAGAGATATAACAACTTTAATAATAGCCCTGAATGCTCTCCTGTACTGGAGCCTGTGTATGCCAAGCAGAGAAGAATATCTGTTTGGTGTTTAAAAACACAGAGAAGCGTTCCATCAGACTTTTTCAGTGGAAGAGAATGACTAGACCAGGCTCAACATGTCCAAAAGGAAAGACGCTTTATGAATTCAGACTGATATTCATGTATCTAAGTCTGAGGGCAAATATGTCTCACAGATACATGTTTTGCTGTAGCTTTCGTACTGCAAGAGCCATAACTAGAGGCAGATGACCTACTCTACATTCTCAGTGGCACGGTTGTACAGATAGTACCAGTTTTTGCTAGTTGGTAGGGAAAGTATAAAGTTCTTAGGGTCCCGTCTATTTAAAAGTATCCTCCACTTGTGATATACAATATTTTTCTAGACAGTTGTTTGACATCCACTTGCCAGAGCTGTGGCATCATAACACTGCCATTTAAGGGTGAAGCTGGGCCAATATTGGAAGTTAAGACTACACATTTTTTGTGTGTCTGTATAGTTTAAAAGGGATGCTATCAATATTCCCTTTAAGTTAACTTTTTCACAACCTGTTGCCTAGCCTAATGTTCTGCCTCCAGTTCTTGTCATGAGCAATTCATCATGAACCTCCCCTCTGCAAACTACACTAAATATAAAACATGAAAGAGCAGGATGAGAACAGTTACGCACCTCCCATTCCTTCCAGAGGGACTAGCAGAGGAAGGCCTTTCAAGTACACCTAAGTGCACTTGTACAACTGCAGCAAAACCAGCATCTACATGTATCTGTACATGCATCCTGTTGTTGTGCAGCCATCATGCATTTCCCTTCATTTTATAACTGCCGCAAGCCAGCCCCTAATAAAAGCTCCATTAACAGATTACTATTACAGCATGATTGCTACAGCAGACTGTTCTTCAGCGGCAAGCTCTAAACCTCTTCCACTAACTCAGGAATGTTTGAACCACGTGGACACTGGCTACTTGAGATACAGTGGTCCAGTCCCAATAGAGAGAAAGATGCTAGCGTGGGGTGGGCCACAGAGCAAAAATGCTATGAGCACCTAGAAAGCGAAGAGAAATAAGAGGGATAAGAGTACACTAGATGAGAATGTATACATTTCCTTCTTCTGCCATAACACTTCAGGAACACCTGTCATACAGTTCAACACAATTACTTTCAAGTACAAGGAATTACTTTGAAAATGACAATGGCATTTTCACAGAATTACAAGGGAAAAAAATTGCCACTCCCTCAGTAGCTGTCCCTATAGACTTTAAACACCCTGGGCAGCTGAAACGTTGACTTTGGATGCAATCTTATACAGATTTATCTGAGGGTGCATCTGACTAAACCAAACAGGGCAGTCTTCTGAGTAAACATGCAGTGGAATGCTCTGTGAATGCACTGAATGATGGCTGTCTTCTTTTCACTCTGGACATTTTCCCCCAATGTCCAGACTGAATGATGGCTGTCTTCTTTTCACTCTGAAAGGCTATTTTGCCCCAATGTCCAGATTTGGTGCTTTGTAATCTTTAAGCAGGAGAATTAAGAAAAATTACCTTGAACAATAATTTCCAAAGCTCCTGATAAAATTCTTATATTTTTTTCCCTCCTTCATATCCATATTCGCTGTCACTGAATTCATTAACTCTTTGTATGCCATTAGGCCCAAACAAAACCAAGAATATTGGTTTCAATTATTCTTCAGCTGCAAAATTCTGTCTTAGTGCAATGCTAGACATGTCTCTTCAGATGTAACTCCCACTGAGCTCACCGTGGTTTACTGCGTATATAATTGCAGCCTAAGATACCCTGCCTCTAGAAGGCTGAATAGAATTGTGAAAAGCATATCAATACAGTATATGTTGCTGTAACTATAATCTGAAGTTTGCTCCAACGTTGACAATCACTCTGTTTTCGTAAACCTTCTTCATAGTTCTCTCAATTTGTTTCAGAAAAACCTGTGGAATTCGCCCACATAATGTGTGTACAGTATCAAGGAATTTTGTCTGTAGAGGGTAGTACATGGACTGGAAAAGATTGTCTTCAAAGGAAAACTAAACAGGAAAAAGACAGTAAAAAATCACATTGTTTACTTCATTGCTTGAAAAAAATCATAACAACCACAGCAATCCAATTAGAGTCCTCCAAACCAATACAATCACTTTTTGAACTATACAGTGGTGAAGAGATATGATTTTTTTCTTTTTAATTAAAGGAATCCCAGATCCATAATTTGGCAGTAACTCCTTCAGGCTGAATTAGAGGAATGGGAGTCCTCAAATAGGAAGTAGAGCAGCCCCCTCACCTCCACACAGTTCCTTCAGTTGCTTCTAGAGAGAGGCATGCCAGAAGTTCATGCCAGTTCATAAGCATGGCACCATCGGTGCTGCACATTCCCTTCCCCAACCTCTCTGGCCAACGTCCCACTCACTAGACAGCGTGCGCTCCTTTCCTCCTCCTCTTTGGGCTGTTCAGCCAGTCCCCAGCAGGAGCACAGGTCTGCTTGTCCTGCATTCTTGTCTGAGTGGGCATTCAGCCAAGGAGGCGGGGCAGGGAAACCCATGCTCCTGTAGGGAGTTGGCTGAACAGCCAAAGAGGGGAAGGAGAGGCATGCACACCAGCTGGCGTGTGGGACATTGGCTGGGGAGGCGGGGGAAGCATCACAGGTTTGTGCCCATCTCTAGTTGCTTTTGAATAAAAAGATCTACTTTTAGCTTCCCAACATTAAAAAAAAAACCCATAGGGTCTTACCATTAAACTAGGGCTCACGGTTTCCCCTCTAGCTGAAGAATGGGGACTGTGCAGCACTCCAAGCATTTTTTGCCATGGCCTATGCTGCCTGGAGATGACCATAAACATCTGGGAGATACCCATTGCTCATCTCTGACCTAGACCATCAGTGTCTGCTCAGACTGTCAATAACCAGCACATGTGCGGTTCAATGTAACACAAAGGTTACAGTGTCAGGTTAGGATCAGGTGGATGCAGGTTCACTACTCTGCCATGACTGTCACTGGAGGCAGTTACTGTCTCTCAGCTAAACCTCTCTCATAGACTTGCTGTGAGGACAGAGGAAAACAAAAACAAAATCAAGCAGTGCTTAGGAACAAGCAGACCTATTACTCAGATTGCCCCCAAAGAGGATTTCACCCAAAAAAACATAAAAGGCAAACTCCAATAAAACAAGCACTCTGAGATTACAGAGTCTGTCAAGTATTGTTTTGGCTTTTTGTCCCTTCCCCCTTTTTTTCTCTTCTTCTTCACTCTTTTGTGATGAGAAAAGACCACATATTTGGCCCTTAGCTTTTTACTGAAAATACCTATCTAAATATAATATAACTGGATGCAATGTACACCGTGTTATAATGCTACCTAAGGCTATGCCTTTGTCAAGGCAACACTTACATCACGTATCACTTCATAGAGTGCTTTGAAAGTAGGCTGTTTATCATCATGGTAGACACCTCTGTTTCCATGGAGAATGGAAATGCCTTCTTCTTCTGCCCCTTTGCAGTTACTGCCGTACATGCAGTGATCTGGTCGATAGTTCCATTGGCACGGAAATAGGTACAGACATTCTAGAAAACCGGATTTGAGAGAAGATGGGAATGGGGAGCAAATGATTACAAAGAGAGCAGAGGAGTCCCCAACCAGAAAATGATGTTTAAAACATTGCATTATACACAAAACCTGCAAATATGATCTGAATGTCTGAACTTTGTCTTAAGGGGAAAATAACTATGCTAATTGGAATCAGAGACTTCTTTGTTTTGGTACTTAATTTGGGTTATGGTTTGGGTGAAAGGAAGAATACGAAGCTCAGAAGAATTTTGACAGTACTCAGCAGATGAGAAAACACTTTATGGAACACACTGTATGCATGAGGAACATTGTGATGTCTGAATCCAGATTCATCATGAAGATACAGTCTAACACCATCTTAACAAGCCTCAGGGTTCACCAACTTTCTCTCTTGCCTTTCCTCTTATGCAGCTGTGAGCAGGAACTAGATGTTTTAGCTCCTGTTTTCAGCTAGCCATAGCTACTTATTGCATCAAAACCAAGAGAAATAGCAGTCCATGTTAACCACAATTTGAGTCTGGGTTAAGCAATCAAATGACTGTAATATGTTTTGACTCTCACTGTCATCAGCAATGCCAATGACCAGGATTTATGGCACTGGTGGCCCCAAGTATCCTGAAGGCACTGGGTGGCCTCCCTCTGGTTTTTTAAAAAAAGACCATTTCAACCAGCCAACTACAGCTAACATGGCTAAAGATCACAATGTTGGTGGTTACAGCCGAAGAACCCCTGGAAGGATCCATGTTGGAAAAAACTGCCCTAAACTATATTTAAGACTAACCACAGCACTTTACTTGAACCATTTAGTACCTCTGAGTTACAGTGGTGCCTCGACGTATGACCATAATCTGTTCTAGAAGATGGACGTAGCTCGGAATGGTCGTAAATCAAAGCACTATTTCCCATAGGAATGCACTGAAATGCAATTAATCTGTTCCGGCTCCTGCCAAACTAGCCGTTTGAAAGCATGTAAATGTGAGTAGATAAATAGGTACTACCATGGTGGAAAGGTAACAGCGTTCCGTGTCTAGTCGTGCTAGCCACATGACTACGGAAAACTGTCTTCGGACAAACACTGGCTCTACGGCTTGGAAATGGGGATGAGCACCGCACCCTAGAGTCAGACACAACTGGACTAAATGTCAAGGGGAACCTTTACCTTTTTACAAGATAGCTAGAGATAGAAATCTATACACATTTCTATAATATGAGCATTATTCAGTCATGTACCTGGGTTAAAGTAGAAAATAATATTGAGCAAGTCCTGATCTCCCCATGTAATGTAGTTTTTGTACTTTTGATATAAAGGGTACAACATCTCCTCCCATGTCAGGCCTGTTGGTATCATGCTGTTCTGAAAAAATAGGAAGGAAACAATGTTTTAAAGACAAGCAGTATAGTACAAATCAGATCAAGAGGAAGACATAGTGATGGTGCTCTGACTGGCTAGGTTCTGGAGCCAAAATAGCACAGCAACAGCTAAGGAGAACTGGATGGTCCTGTGGTGATTTACATGCTCAGTTGATAGCACAGGAGCTCCACACCTGAAAAGTCAGCCTGTGAGAAATGAAAGCAGTATGGACAGTTCACATGCAGTGTCCCTCCCCCATCCCCGACAGCATATTTCCACACCACTAACTGATCATTTAAGTGACTGTATAACTGGTTGACCACACAGATCTATCCAATCCAACGATGCTCTAAAGCACCTATTTCTCTTTATAGCAGTTTCCCACATGGTATCCATATTCACGTATGTACATTTTGAGAAAATGTAGATACACACATGCAAGCACAAGGCAACACTGCTTTTAATATACACTTATTTATATACTTGCCCTTTATCACTCTGACTCCTTTCTTGGAAGTGACCTCCTTAGCTATTCCCTTCTTTGTACCTACAGTCAACCCTCGACTTACAAACTTAATCCATTCCGGAAGGAAGTTTGTAAGTCGAAAAGTTTGTAAGTCGAATCAGCATTTCCCATAGGTATGCACTGAAAACCAATTAATCAATTCCAGCTGTTTTTGGTTCTTATGTCGAGGGGTGGTTTGTAACTCAAATCATTAGTTACCATAGGAACTAATGCAAAGCCGGTTAATCCGTTCCTACCACTAGGGGCAGAATTTTTTTATTTTTTTCCTTTCAACATAAGATGACTTAGGTTTTAAAAAAAGGAAAAAAAGAGGGAGGGGAGGAGGGAACAGACACCTTTTCAACAGAACACCTTGAAAGCACCTTTTCAGCCAAGACAAGCACCTTCTGGGAAAAACCAAACACCTTTCAGACAACTGTAAATATTCCTCGCCTTTGCAACTCTGGGTCATAGAAAGCAATTGTCCAGGTTGTTTTCCTAAATGTATGAATATCAGTTCTATACAAATGAGATAAATTGTTCAGATCACAGAATTTTTGTATCGGCATCTAAATCAATATCATACCTTGAACTGAGCATTTCTTATTCGGGTTAAATTCATCAGCATGACGCCAGAGTTGACCCCAGTTGTTCCATAATATGGGTGGCGAGCAAACCGACTGTACCAGCCAATCTTTGGTATTTCATGTTCGGGTGCCATGGCTGCTAGCTGTGTGGAGTTGAAAGCTTTCAGAAAGCCCCAGAGGTCATCAATGGGTCGCAAGAATAGGACATCTGTGTCCACATACAGTAGGGAGTCCACATCTTTTAAAATCATCTTTGGAGACAGGATATAAAGGGTAGGGGAACACACAGAGACATGTAGTGTACACAGTAAGAGCAAGGAAGATAAATTAAAGCCTCGAAACTCATTTACACTGTATATAAATGGAAGACACAAGAGGGTATAATGCTTTGATGAAACCTCTTACTGAGCAAAGAGATCTGCAACTATGAGCACTTCAAGATTATCTGAACAAAGCAAAGAGATTATCAAGATTCATAAATAACTGCACCTCCCATAGACAAAGATTTTTTTCTAAATATAGCTAAGAAAGAAATGTAAATGTATTGAATTTCAAAAAGAAACGATGAAACTTATTTTAGTAGTGAAATTACTGTGGACAATAACGAAAAAACAACAAACTCAGTTTTTAAAACATGAAGCATAGGACCAGCAAGACCAGAACATACTGGCAAAAGAGAAAGCCATCTCATATAAACAAGTAGCAGCCCAGGATGTGTAGTGGTTACTGAATGGTAATGATGCCACCATTGTTGTTGTTTAGTCGTTAAATCATGTCTGACTCTTCGTGACCCCATGGACCAGAGCACACCCGGCTCTCCTATCTTCCACTTCCTACTGGAGTTTGGTCAAATTCATGTTGGTCACCTCAATGACACTGTCCAACCATCTCATCCTCTGTCGTCCCCTTCTTCTCCTGCCTTCACACTTTCCTAACATCAGGGTCTTTTCCAAGGAGTCTTCTCGTCTCATGAGTTGGCCAAAGTATTGGAGCCTCAGCTTCAGGATCTGTCCTTCCAGTGAGCACGCAGGGTTGATTTCCTTCAAAATGGACAGGTTTTCTTTGCAGTCCCGGGACCTCTCAAGAGTCTCCTCCAGCACCACAATTCAAAAGCATCAATTCTTTGGCGCTCAGCTTTCTTTATGGTCCAGCTCTCGCTTCCATACATTGCTACTGGAAAAACCACAGCTTTGACTATGTGGACCTTTGTCAAAAAGGTGATATCTCTCTGCTTTTTAAGATGCTGTAAAGCTTTCCTCCCAACAAGCAGGTCTCTTTTGATTTTGTGGCTGCTGTCACCATCTGCAGTGATCATGGACCCCTAGAAAGTAAAATCTGTCACTGCCTCCATATCTTCCCCTTCTATTTGCCTGGAGGTGATGGGACCAGTGGCCGTTATCTCCAATTTTCTTGAACAGATCTCTGGCTTTTCCCTTTCTATTATGTTTCTCTATTTCTTTGCATTGTTCATTTAAGAAGGCCCTCTTGTCTCTCCTTGTTATTCTTTGGAAGTCTGCATTCCATTTTCTGTAACTTTCCCTATCCCCCGTGCATTTTGTTTTCTCTCTCTTCTCTGCTATTTGTAAGGCCTCATTGGACAGCCACTTTGCTTTCTTGTATGTTACCGCGAACCCACATAGAATCCAGCAGAGTTAGTATTTTCAGGTCCAGAAGGCGAAATAAATCACTCAGACACATTCAGCTTCCTACAGCATGTGTATTTATAGCATATGTACAAGAGTAGAAAGTGGCAGCATGACAACATGGCATCATCAAATGAAGGTGGAGGGTACATGTTCTCTATACAGTGCATATATATACAGCTGAGCCTCTGCTCTTATCCAGTCACAGCGGGGTCATGCAATATTGTACTCAGGTTGCATCATCCAAGGCACCACCTTTTCAGAGTCAGTGTGACTCAGCAAATCACACACCTGTACAACATGGCAGCTCATTATTACTTCTGCTCTTTTCTGTTCAGGCCTGTAAATTTTCTATACTCTGACATTGTATTTCCTCTGTGATGGTTTTTGTTACTGCCTCCTGTACAATGTTACGAGCCTCCATCCATAGTTCTTCAGGCACTCTGTCCACCAAATCGAGTTCCTTAAATCTGTTCTTCACTTCCACTGTGTATTCATAAAGGATTTGGTTTAGATTACACCTGACTAGCCCAGTGCTTTTTCCTACTCTCTTCAGTTTAAGCTTGAGCTTTGCTATAAGAAGCTGATGATCAGAGCTACAATCAGCTCCAGATCTTGTTTTTGCTGCCTGTATAGAGCTTCTCCATCTTTGACTGCAGAGAACATAATCAATCTGATTTCAGTATTGCCCATCTGGTGAAGTCCATGTGTAGAGTCGCCTCTTGTGTTGTTGGAAAAGAGTTTTTGTGATGACTAGCTTGTTCTATTGGCAAAACTCCATTAGCCTTTGCCGTCCTTCGTTTTGAACTCTTAAGGCCAAACTTACCTGTTGTTCCTTTTATCTCTTGACTCCCTACTTTAACATTCCAGTTACAGTCCACCAAGCTCTGTCCAAAAGAACTTGTACATAGCACACTCCATGACACACATTTTTGAACTATGACTTAATCCCAATTCCCTATTTATGTGAATGAGAGTGCACATTAAGATGGGGGCACACAGCAATAAAAATTAGTAAGAAGATGCTGTAGCATCATAAGATGTCACCTTATATTGATTTCAGAACTTTGAAATCATGCCCAGTGAACCACCTCGTCCAGCAGGTGACTGGCATTGGCTGCCCAAACCTGCTTTACAAGACCTGCTTACCTATTTTCCTGTAACATGTCAGAATTTGAACCCTAGACCTTTGGTAAGTACATTATGTCTGAACTTCAGCACTTCCCCATTCTGGTCCTGTTTAAACTGATGGACAAAATTATAATTTCACGTGGTTCTTCACTAGTGATATTAGTTACCGCCCTGTTCCTTATGGAAAAGAGGAATGACAATCAGTACTATACATCAATTCATATTCACAGTGTGCCCTCTTGTGGCTATGTGGTTCTGTACATATCCATTCATAATTTCAGTGATTTCACAAAAGCCATTACTGTATAGTTCTCAATATTTCTCCACCTGTAGCTGAGCATGTTTCTTATTCTATTCTGTTTCGGTATTAGAGGTGATGCTCTGTTTTGCCTGTCTTTCATTCTCTGACTATTCTCTTGTTGCTTTTTGTTATGTGTCATCAAGTCACCTCCAACCTATGAATGAGTGACCTCCAAAATGTCCATCTACAGCTGCCCTTTGTTCAGCTCTTGTAAACTCAAGCCCGTGCTTTGCTTTTTTTCAGCTCTTGTAAACTCAAGCCCGTGGTTTGCTTTTTCTTTCAGGCAGCTAGAATAGCAGCTCGTGGGCTAAGGTGAAAAACCAAGGATAGAATTCCCCCTCTGCCAAACGTTTCAGTGTATGATCTTGGACAATTTTTTCACCATTTCTCCCAGCCTTGCATCTGGGAAGATGGGGAATGAATTCCTTGCCTTGCCCAGATTGCTGTGGAAGAACCGAAGGACAATTAGGGGGGTCAATCAGGAGGGTCATAATCCTCCTGTCCAAACTGATGAACCGAACAGAGTGCAATTAACTGAAACAAACCATTGATTTATCCCTGTCTATCCCTGGAAAGCATTCTGAACTCTTAAATTGCATGAAGTAATCATTTATACAACCTGTACTGGAGAAAATGTTTCCAAAAACAACCTACTGCATTAGCATGGAGTGGCATTTCTGTTTATTAACCAAGACTTTTAGAATTAGCCATGCTTTATTAGTAGTGGCATAGGCAAGTGTTCCATACAAACATTCTTCTGCAGAAAGATTCCAATTAATTAAGAAAATATGCTTTACTGCATTTAGAATTAATGTACTATCTGACTTCACACTGCACTTCTTTACAGCTTTTTACTCTTTATATAATTTCATCCCCAGTTTCTCCAGTATGTATATATAACTAGAGATGTAACTGACAATAACAAGTAACTTTTACCATGAGCCTTTCAACACCATCCTTCCACCACATTCACATTAAATGAATCACTTCCTGAGTCCAACTAAGTACCATATTCCAGTGTCCTTTAAGACAGGGATGGACACCTGCAGCCTTTCCAAAAAATTTTTGGCCTAACAACTCCCATAATCCTCAGCAACAGTTATGTAGATAAGCTTTATTGGAGCTGTAGGCCAAAAACATATGAAGAGCAACATTTCAGTGGTTTAAATATCTGGCTGCAGAGCCAAAGGTTCGTGTTTGATTCCCCGCTGTGCCTCCTTGACAGAGCTGAACTCAATGATCTATTTGATCCCTTCCAGCTAAGCAGTTCTTAGATTATAATCATTATCATTAACTTCAACAACCTATCATAACTTTAAAGTGAATTGTTTCAGGAGAAGAATTTAAGCGTAGGCTTTTAAGCTCTTTCTTGAACCTGCTATACAAAAGTTCAGTGACTATGACTTAAGCTAAAAAACACACCAAGATCCTAATAATTTGCTTAGAATTACAAAAGTGTATCTACACAGCCTGTTTCAGATTGGGCTGGTATGGGTTAAACAAGGTAACTTGGGTTTGGATGGAGATGTAATACACCATTTGGTGTGAGCCTCACATCCAAATGGCCTACAGAGCTCAAGCAACCCTATTTGGTCTGTCTTCTTCAATTTCCAATATTATGAAGTAGCTTAATAAGCGAGCCACTTCAGAGTATCAGCAATTGGAACATTTCCTCTGCTCCTCATGTAGTCAGTGTCTTAAATAATTCTGTAATCAAGATCAAAACAAAGATGCGTAAAACTGGACCGTGGCGACACTGATTTTTTTGAACTAGAACTTGCAGAATCCCCTAACCAATATGGCTACTGAGACAGGAAGCCATAATCCAAAACAAGAATTTTTTTTCACTCTGCGGATGACTTCAATAGAAAGGTGATGCTCATTCTGAGTCTAGAATGTAACATCTCTTGTTTCTGTGTTTCAAAAATGAGAAATAAGTGCACCTCCCACCCGTTAAACTATTCAAGAAACCAGCCTGTAACCAAGAGTTGTTCATTGTTTAAAAGACAGACCGGAGCAGAATTCACTCTCATTTTTATGTACTACGTATAACCATTCAGCCAACCATTCTACCAAGCTGCAGCACATGGAACGTTGGGCCATTCCACTTTGGCGGCTAGGGATGGGACTTTCAGATTTTCCAGACTGCAACTCCCAGAATTTTCTCTAGCAGCAGTTTACAAAGCAGCTTTCATACCTACAAATGGGTCTTAGTTGCCTTTATCGCCTTTCAAGCAGAAGGAAATTTCCCTGATGGTATCTGGGAGTGGCAAGACTTCATGGAAGCCATAAGTATCCATGTGATGAGTAGTCTTGCTATATAGAGCCATCCCATGAACCTTTCCCATGGAGACTTCCCATTCCAAGCTACAACTAGGACAGTAGCCTTCTTGACATGCCAATAGTGGCAACAGAGGCCCATGTGTATGTAATGAAAGTGACTCTGCAAATGTCTGGTTTTTGCTGCATCTCCCAGAATTCTGCCTGGGGGAATTCTGGGAAAATTCTGGGAGTCACAGCCCAAAAATTCCAACGCCTATGGGCTGATGAAAAAAGCAGCTTCGTTGGTTTCCTCCTCTTCCTGAACCACATGAGCTGGTTATTATAAGAATATTGTTTAGCTTTAAGGACTGGTGTCTGAGCTTGCTTTTTCACACTCCCCCTCCACATCTGTTTTTCTTTTCCCATGTTATGTCTTTTAAATTGTCAACTTGTGGAAGGGACTGTCTTGTTTTATTGAGTCAGCTGATTTGGGAGATTTTTCTGGGGTTACAAATGTTTTAAATAAATAATAATTAAAACAGGGCTGTCATCAGAAGAGCTCTAAAAAGGGGGAGTGTATTGTGTTACAAGGCCACAAAGAAATGGACACATTGAACGCGCCAGAAGGTTAACAGTGCTGGCGAAGGCTATAATGAGCTGTTCCTTGAAATAAAGAACAATTGGCAAGGCTAGCTGGTAATGACATGGGCTGAAATGGCAATTTCATGCCACCGTACTTGAAAAAAGCTCTCATCTTGGAGAATAGCAAACAATTCCATTGCCATCTTTTCACCCAACGCCAAGAATTAACAAGTTGCAAACCTGTGACTGTGAACTCAAAATCTTTGTATGACTTCTCCCAAAAGCTTCATGTAGATGTTAAAAAGCATTAGGGAGATCGTCAACCCCTGTGGGACTCTACAGCAGATCCCCCAAGGGGCAGACATGGCATCCCCAAGCTGCACCACCTGGGATTTGCCATTAAGGAAATCAACAGGATACTGTGGTTGATGGTATCACAGGGTGCAGAAAGAACCAGGAGGATCAAAAGATACTCCCCGTCTGCCTCCCTTAGGAGATCGTCTTGCAGGGTGATGAATGTTGATTCAGTACCATGCCATGGCCTAAACCCCAACTGAAATGGATACAGATTATCAATTTCTTCTAAGAATGCCTGCAACTAGACAGGCAACACCCTCTTGATTAAGATGCCCCCAAAAAGAAGTATTTGAGACTGCTCTGTAGTTGTTCAAATTCTCTGTCACCAAATTAATTTTCTTAAGAATAGGTCTTACTATATATTTTTTTTTTGAAAAAAGAGGGCACATGGCCTTCCTGAAGAGAAGGACTGATGATATAAATGGCACACACATGTCCATATTTTAGTAGCCAAGACAGGCAAGGTTCTGAAAAAAGAGGTAGTAGCTTTACAGCGTACGAGTACCTTGTCTACATCCTCAGGCCTTACTAACTGAAACTGATCCAATAAAACCTGACTAGACACTGCACTGGACATCTTAATCCGATCAAGTGTGATAAATAAAGAGTCAAGATCCTGACAGGTGCATTCAATCTTGGATCTGAAATGGGCTCCCAGTTGGCTGCAATTCTCTACACTTGGTTGCAATGTTTGCATCTGTCAGGCTTTTGTAAGGCTGTGGACAACTTGAAAGAGTTCTCCCTGTTGGTTGGAGGCTATGTTAATCAATTTGGTGTTGCAGCCTCTTCTTGCTGCTTTAATTAAATTACGGTATTTGCCGGACATCTCCCTGACTGCAGCTCCCTGACTGAGGGAGCTTTCCTCCATCTGTTTTCTAGCCGTCTCTGTAATTGCTTCATTGCCCTCAGGTCTTGCATAAACCATGGTGACGGACGGTCAGGCTCTGCAATGAAGAGGGAATTTAGGAGTGATCATGTCTACTGCCCAGTACCTGTGGGAGACCTGGGCTTCGACAGATGTGCCAACGAGATCAGCCAGAAAATTTATTTTCCCCCTAAGGATTACTTTTCAGCAGCCTATTATGAGAAGTAGAGGGGATGCTTTTCATTTGCTGCTATTATTCAAGAACTGGAAGTTAGAAACTTTTGTCAATCTATTGCAAATTACCAAAAGACCTATGGATAGATCCCACCTTCTTAGTGCTGGAATACACTTTGTAGAACAGCAGAGTGGGCCTCCCTATCTCCAAGAGGCAGCAGCCTTTGATAAATAATTGGCTGGTGTAAAAGAATGCTGCCCCACCCAGCTACCCTTTGTTTAGATCAGAAATATACATGCAAGATCGTCAACCCCTGTGGGACTCTACAGCAGATCCCCCAAGGGGCAGACATGGCATCCCCAAGCTGCACCACCTGGGATTTGCCATTAAGGAAATCAACAGGATACTGTGGTTGATGGTATCACAGGGTGCAGAAAGAACCAGGAGGATGAAAAGAGTTATACTCCCCATCTGCCTCCCTTAGGAGATCGTCTTGCAGGGTGATGAATGTTGATTCAGTACCATGCCATGGCCTAAACCCCAACTGAAATGGATACAGATTATCAATTTCTTCTAAGAATGCCTGCAACTAGACAGGCAACACCCTCTTGATTAAGATGCCCCCAAAAAGAAGTATTTGAGACTGCTCTGTAGTTGTTCAAATTCTCTGTCACCAAATTAATTTTCTTAAGAATAGGTCTTACTATATATTTTTTTTTTGAAAAAAGAGGGCACATGGCCTTCCTGAAGAGAAGGACTGATGATATAAATGGCACACACATGTCCATATTTTAGTAGCCAAGACAGGCAAGGTTCTGAAAAAAGAGGTAGTAGCTTTACAGCGTACGAGTACCTTGTCTACATCCTCAGGCCTTACTAACTGAAACTGATCCAATAAAACCTGAGTAGACACTGCACTGGACATCTTAATCCGATCAAGTGAGATAAATAAAGAGTCAAGATCCTGACAGGTGCATTCAATCTTGGATCTGAAATGGGCTCCCAGTTGGCTGCAATTCTCTACACTTGGTTGCAATGTTTGCATCTGTCAGGCTTTTGTAAGGCTGTGGACAACTTGAAAGAGTTCTCCCTGTTGGTTGGAGGCTATGTTAATCAATTTGGTGTTGCAGCCTCTTCTTGCTGCTTTAATTAAATTACGGTATTTGCCGGACATCTCCCTGACTGCAGCTCCCTGACTGAGGGAGCTTTCCTCCATCTGTTTTCTAGCCGTCTCTGTAATTGCTTCATTGCCCTCAGGTCTTGCATAAACCATGGTGACGGACGGTCAGGCTCTGCAATGAAGAGGGAATTTAGGAGTGATCATGTCTACTGCCCAGTACCTGTGGGAGACCTGGGCTTCGACAGATGTGCCAACGAGATCAGCCAGAAAATTTATTTTCCCCCTAAGGATTACTTTTCAGCAGCCTAATATGAGAAGTAGAGGGGATGCTTTTCATTTGCTGCTATTATTCAAGAACTGGAAGTTAGAAACTTTTGTCAATCTATTGCAAATTACCAAAAGACCTATGGATAGATCCCACCTTCTTAGTGCTGGAATACACTTTGTAGAACAGCAGAGTGGGCCTCCCTATCTCCAAGAGGCAGCAGCCTTTGATAAATAATTGGCTGGTGTAAAAGAATGCTGCCCCACCCAGCTACCCTTTGTTTAGATCAGAAATATACATGCAAGGCTAAAAAAAAAGGCTCAACCAAATTAAGGAAAAGAAGAAGCCAATTCTCAAAGATAGAACTTCTCGATATTTCTACACTGTGCAAAATGTCATATCACAGAATTCTTGACCCCTTGCAATTTCCCCAAACTGGATTTAGGGAGCCGAGAAACCAAGCAAGCCTGATGTTAGAAAACAGTATAGTGTTGAAAGCCAGCGGAACTTTAGACAAGCATTCACAACAACTCTCTCACTCATTTTTTATGTGAAAAGTCTGAGTAATTTTCTAGACCCATTTCAGTCTAACCAAGGTTTTATACAAGTTTGGGAACCTTACCGGAAGAAAGAGCCGCTGGGCAGCACATGGTTTGAATAATTTTTTCCATTCCTGAGCGTTTCCTACCGAAAAGGAGATTGGGTATACATGATATTCAAACTTCTTCGTGTATGAAGGAGGCCATTCCTGCAACTGTAAAAGCACATGGAGGAGGAAGATCAGAACTCCGGAGAAGGCAGGCGGCTCATGGCTATGCTATGGCTACAATGTCAAAGCCATGAAAGAAACACTCTTAATCAAGCTGAGCTTTACAGAGAGCACTTGTGACTAGAAAGAGCTGATCCACTCATTAACCTGTGGGAGTCAAAGCATTACTAAGTGAATCTGTGGGCTTACAATAATCAAAAGATCTAGGGTTACTGGGTGTTTTTTGGAACAGAGAGGATTGTTGTTGTTCTCAAAGGAATTGCTAAAGGGCATAACTTACTTTCCTTTCAAATTCAGGCTTCAGGGAATCCTCTGCAAAGATGTGAAATTTGAGCTTCCTGTTGCTAAACAGAACCGCTGACTTCAGCATGATGAGGGTTTCTTCCAGTCGCTCCCCACACGCAACAACTGCCAGATGCATCCACTGTGGAGCAGAAGGCCGGGTTAGGGGAAGTTTCTGGTCCTTTGGTCTCCTAAAAATAATACAGATGTATATGTATAGTTATATAACTTTATATACTTCAAGCTTCCTGTATGATAATCAACATTTTCCAGACTTGATATGAAGTACAGCACTTTAGGGCTTTTTTTATTTTTAAGGTCCTGTTCTTAAGATTAGATTATAAGAATCTGCCCGTAGTCCTTTTGAATCAGGCTACCTAATCAGCCCAGCCTTTAAGGTGCTAATGTAATTAATTTCCATCCTCACAACTGTTTCCTTGTATAGAGTGGATTACGCTTTGTTCAATTCTCACCCACATTCAAGCAGCAATTAAGGTGGAAGGTTCAGAAAGACAATTATGCCTGTCGAAGTCCGGATGGCTTACATGAAAGCTGCAAGAAGCATTGCCAGCCAAGCACCCAAATAACACTCAGCAGTTTCCTGGGCTGGCAGAAGCATCTCTGCACATCTGTAACTGTGGGCTAAATCCCACTGCCAGTCCCAACTTAGAGTAGACGATGTGAAATGGGAACTTCCGCAGAGGCTTATATGCTATTTGGCAATACTAGATTCAATGGATCCTCTCTAGTTAAAACTAGCTACTGAATTGAGGCCAATGATCCCTTTGAATTGTGGTGCTGGAGGAGGCTCTTGAGAGTCCCCTGGACTGCAAGGAGAACAAACCTATCAATTCTAAAGGAAATCAACCCTGAGTGTTCACTGGAAGGACAGATCCTGAAGCTGAGGCTCCAATACTTTGGCCGTCTCATGAGAAGAGAGGACTCCCTGGAAAAGACCTTAATATTGGGAAAATGTGAAGGCAAGAGGAGAAGGGGACGACCGAGGATGAGATGGCTGGACAGTGTCACCGAAGCAACCAACATGAATCTGACCCAGCTCCGGGAGGCAGTGGAAGATAGGAGGGCCTGGCGTGCTCTGGTCCATGGGGTCACGAAGAGTCGGACACGACTAAACGACGAAACGAAACGAAATGAAACTGTAAATAGAGATGGGCATGAACTGTCAGTTCAGGGGTTCATCCTTTAGAAGAACAAGTGTTCGGTGCTTCCCAGCCCTGCCTCCTCTAGCAGGCACCCACTCAGAGGCAGCATCCAGAGGAGGCAGGGCAGAGAAGCTGCAGCACTACCTCTGAGTTGGTGCCTGTGGGAAGAGACAGGGCTGGGAACTGCCAAACACTTGCTTGTCTGAGGGACGAACCAGCACGAACCACTGAATCAGTGATTTGTGCACATCTCTTGCTGTAAACCCAAGGCCTCAAATTCTGCAGTTGGAGATAGGAATCCAATTCCTAATCCCAACTAGAATGTACCTACTAAACAATTAGGAAAGGAATCAATGGGTCTCCTCTAGCTGGGATGTACCATTTGTTTTAAGTCAGTGTATCTAACAAACAGCTTCTTCCACTCATGTTTCCCTTTCCGGTCTTCCTTCACCTCTCAACTAGCTGCCAATATCTCTGTACTACCAAACTCTGTTGCCAACAAACTCGGCACTCTTCAGAAATGTTGAGAGCAGAGACCTACAGAAATTGTTTATGCAAAGTAGTGTCATTAATCTGAAGAAACGATTCTCAGCGTCGCATCTTGGCTCCCACTGTGCAAAAATACAAACAGCCTTGAGATTGGGACACTTCATTCATAAAGGGAACAGATATTTCTTCCCTGTCAGAAACTGAAATAAAGTCTGTAATAGCGGCTGCTCTATATTGCAACATAAATCTACTTATGCCTTAGGGTATGCTAGCTTTCGGTATCTGACTGGTTCAGCAGTGCAATATATTTCATTAATTGCTTAAAAGGCCATAGGCTTTTGTCTTAATTAAACCTCAGTTTCTGCAGTGGATAAATAATGGCATACTATGTTTATGCAAATAGTATTTACTTTCCAGCCAATTAGTGCAAAACCCACTGAATTATTAAAAGACATAATTGGCTGCTTGCATGGATTGTGCTGTGCTCTTCTTTTTGCCTACTTCTTCTGCACTTATTCTTAATCTCTAATTCAAGCAGTATGTGGAAAATGAACACTTTGATATAACTACTATAGCTCCTTCTCATGCCTTCCACTCAAAGCAGATAAAAACCTCCACTATTTGTTATGTCAATGCCCAAAATGCGTTCTACATCAGATATAATCTTTTTCAGGAAAAAAAGAACCCTAAATTCATCCATGGCTTTTTTAAAACTGAAGTTGGCATATAGTATGAGGCTCCTGTAGATGGCTGCAACTACACTGGCAAGTTGAAGGGCAGTGATTCAGCTTAGCTTGCTGCGGCTTGATTCGCAGCCTATTTTATGCTTCTGTTCGAATTAGGTGCTCACAGACTGAAGATTATTTTGGTGCCAACTGGATCCCCCATCTAATGCAGTTTGATCTGCACCACAGACCACAGCTCTCCTTCCTTTGATACCGCCCTGTGCTCATCCACAGCTCTCTGTGTATGGTTCATTGTAAAGCCAGTGGATTGTTTAAGCATTGCTCCGCACTAGGAAAAGTGACAGTTTTCCAAAGTTCTCTAGAGAGCATGCAAAGCCATGCTGTGGAAACATAGTAGTCTACTGTACTTTGTTGGAGTTGTTTATACTTCATATAGATTTTTAAATTTTCTTCTGTCTGTGCAAAGGTGATTTAGCACTAAACTTTGCAGTTTGTTTAAAAAAATTAAAAAATACTTTGGGGCAACTAGGGAGACAGATCACAGGGGCGGGTATTCTCATTATCCAGAACATCATGCCCAGCTTAGTATATCACCAGAATACAGCCCATAGCCAATGCCCTCATCTTTTTGGAGATAGAAACAGACAGAGAAAAGTCCATTCAAATCATTCCAGCTTGAAAAAAGTAGAAACCCCCAGTGGCAGAGAAAATGTGATTAAACAAAAACAAAAACAAAACCTGAATTCATCCACTTTACATCTGTAACTTCTGCAGTATTAGACTATGTTATTTCCTACTTTCCCAGAGAAAGACAGGCAGGCAGGCTATGGTAGAGCCAACCTGAAAGCCTGCCCATGATAGCTCAAGTATTACAGAAGAACTCCCACAGCTGGCTTTGGGGACCACAAGTCCTCTTTTACAGATAAAAGTCCTCTATGAAAGACTGGTCAAAGAAAACTCCTCCTTTGGAAGAGGCCCTCTATTAGATAATAATAAATGCATGCCGTCAAGTCAATTCAAGATTTATGGAGACCTTTTTTGGGGTTTTTCAGATAGATAATACATAGAAGTGGTTTACCATTCCCTTCTTTTTGGAGTGCCCTGGGACTGTGCAGCTTGCCCAAGCCCACACAAGCTGGCTCTACTCACAGGAGGCACAGTGGGGAATGCAAATGGCAACCTCTGGCTCCATGACCAGATATCTAAACTACTGAGTAATCCAGACAGCTCCTTCTGTTAGAAGAGCTATTCAATCCAAGCCTGATTTGAAGATACTGTAATCATAAAGAGGGAAATCAATTAGTGACCCACGGTTACTATCCAAATAGCAGATGCAGCGGCAGGTACACAAGTTGCCTAGTGCCCTGCCAAGTGATAGGTGCTGTCACTTTGTTTGTATTATTAAAAATATGCGCTAATTTTTAATTTCTACATATAAATCATGTGTGTAATTTCAAGCCAAGTGGTAACCCCTCCCCCTTTCTCTCCCTTTTGGCATATAGCCACTCTAGATTTGGCACTGAAGCCTGCTTCAACACTGAAGAGTTTTGGGGCCCAGAGGTATGAATGTCTGTTTCCCCTTTGAAAAGAAACAAAAAAACTAAAAAAGACATTTTTGGGCTTCTAGCACAGAAACACTTGATTCCCAGTGGAACACTGTGTGAGAGAGAAAGTCCAAAAAGAAGGTGATAACATCTGGGTTATAAGAGAGGGAGAGAAAGGAGGCGAGACATGGGGTTTGCGAAAGGGAATGATGGTGGTGGGGATCTTGGAGTAAAGAATCAGGGTGAGAAGGGGCAGAAAAAGGATGCGATGGAAAGATAAAGGGGAAGGGCAGAAAAGACAATGACTGTTTTACTCAACAATCCATGTTCTACAAAGCTGCCTTTGTCAGTCCCAACAAAGCTGTCTTTCTTGGCAGCGGACACTGCTAGTGTCAGGGGTTGGGGGGGGGATTCCCTGGAATTCCCTCCCAGAGGGCAGTGCCTAGTCCCTCCCCAACCCCAGTTCTGTTTGCAAGGGGAATGCTGCCAGTGCAAAGTACAAAAAGACCAAGCACACATGGTGTGAAAATGTAGTTCTAAGACTGCACAGTGGATTTGTTCAGTCAATGATACTGCTTCTCCAAATACATGAACTGCATTTTGCTCATATATTGAAACGTACATTGGTCTTCTTTCAGGCGGTTTAGGTAAAAACAGGGCAATGAACCAAACAGATACTACTCAATACTCCCAAACGTTTTCTTTTAACAGTAACATATATTTGCATGTGTTTGCTGCCTTTTAAGGCACTGTGAACTTGATCCATACTGGCCATAACTCATATCAACAATGACATACAGCCATTCCCCCAAAACCATAATAAAATAGCTCGCTTGCTTATTGGATTTATGCCCCGCCCATCTAGAGGTAAGCCATTCTAGATGGCTACAAAAAAAAACATACATTTACAAAAAGAAGTAAAACAATACCCAAGGTTAAGAACCAGTGTTCTAGATGGCTACAAAAAAATAACATACATTTACAAAAAGAAGTAAAACAATAAACTTACACAAACAGGAACTCATCCTAAAAATCTCCTCTCTAACTGGGATGACTGGATCTCAATAAGGCAAAGCTAAGACAACTAAATCACACGTTAAAAAATAAACCAACATTATAGGACCGACACGAAATTATCTCAGTAATTAAATTAAAAACAGGAGAGGCTTCCAAAGACCTGTGTAAGCCCTCCTAGAAAACATGTGTTTTTCTCCGATTGACAGTCTAAAATCAAATCTAAACACCTTGCTGTTTATATGTACTCTTTAAATTATAATGATGCAGAATCTGTGCCCTTAAGATGTAATTA